CACTCCTTCCCTCCCTCCCTGTTGAGGCAGTTGCAGTTAAGTGACTTGCCCAGGGTCACACAGCTAGTAAGTGTCTAAAGTCAGATTTCAACTCAAGTCCTCCTGACTCCAGGGCTGGTGTTCTATCCATTATGTCCTTATCGCTATTCTAATAGCCCTGGAGTATAGCACATCTTATACCAATAGCATGAGTCTTTGGGGGTTTGTTCAGGGGAAGCTTTTTGAACACCAGACTAAACACATTTTGGTTGGTATTAATGGGGATTCTTTTTCAGATATATGTTGGACCAGATGGCCTCTGAGATTCATTCTCCCTCCAGAATTCTGTTATCTTTTAACTGGTCCAGTGTATTTCTCTTTAAACATGTTTCTTTTCCCGTAATTGATGCTCCTAACTAAAATAAGTGTTAAATTGCTGACATCGTTTTATTTGATTTAGTCCTCTAGTAATATACGTAATGATGTTTTGTATAACTAAATTATGTCTGTTTTGCAATGTTTATAGGTAAGCATTTTGCCATTCCAATTGATCAAGAATATTTTATCAATAAACCAGTCATATTTGGAGATTTTATAAAGGCAAGTATGTGATATTGGCATCACCGAAGTTCATAGAATTGCAAAATATATTTTCTGCTTCCTTGGTTTGCCTTTTTCCTCTTCGCTTCAAGAATGAGGTTTTTAAGATTGAAAGTCAAAAAAACCTAAAATTCAGCTTCCCCCTTAGATTTCTCTCATCACTCTGTTTGAAACTTCTCCATATCTGTAGCATTCTCTAATTTGTATCTGCTCTTTTGTGCCGATGTTATCTGCCCCACTAGATGGTATCTTGAGAATAAAATTCAACATCCATTTTTGTGCCACTAGCTTCTAATTTAGTGCCCTGTGTTTAAGAAAAGTTTGTTACAACATGAGTACTTAAGTCCTAAGTCTCCCAGCTATGATAGTATGAAAATTATTTAATATAGTTAGATGATTAAATGGCTATCTGTGTGTTTGTGTGTGTATATATATGTGTGTGTGCATATATGTGTGTATGTATAATATTTTATATGTATATGTGTGTATACATATCTGTACATATACATACATGCATACAACTGAAAAACAACCCAACAACAACAACAACTATATTTATGGATGTCTTAGGGCAGTGCTGTACATTTAGTAGGCACTCCATAAATGCTTTTTCATTCATTTGTTCCATTAGATTATGAACTCCCTAAGGGCAGGGATTGTCTTTTGTCTCTTTTTGTATCCCTGGCACTTAGCACAGTGCCTGGCACATAGTACATGTGTATATATGTATGTGTATACATATATATATATACATATATTTTTATATTTATGTATGTGTGTGCTTGGGTATGCATGTATGTATATATGTGTGTCTATACATTTATACATGTGTACTTACATATTATGTAGCTCAGATTTTTGTGAAATCATTTCCATCCCACACTTGCACATACTTACCTTCGGTTCTTCTCCCCTAACTCTTTGGCCACAGATTGGTGTTGAAAAATCTGATCGCCTCTATGAAGACCTGGTGGACATGAATAAGATAGCTTCCGTTTTACAGGATTACCTTGACGATTACAACATAATGACCTCTAAAGAAGTAAAGCTGGTATTCTTCCAGGATGCCATCGAGCACGTGTCAAGGTACAGTGAGGCCACATCATGCTTACCATCAGGTTTTTGTGTCCTACGAGTACTGGAGATGATTAACTGCAACATATGAATTGCCAAGAGCAAAAGGCCTTAGGAATGCCTAGCACTGCTACGCTTTACAAGTCATTTCATTTTTAAAGTATTTCAAGTATTTGCTAGTTGCTTCATTAAGGTGTAAAGGAGAATCTGGCTTCTCAAAAACCTTATCCATAGATTTCAAGCTCTGACAGATTCTCCCAAGGTTGAAAGGTTCAGTGTTTGGTCTCAGTGGCGGTCAGCCATGTGAAGACCACCCTAGCTGAAGGCAGGGAGCCTCATCACAAAAAGACCAGCCAATAGCGGATAAGGTTTTTTTTAACCGCAGTGATGAAACAAATAAAAATTTAGTAATATCAAAGCTACTTTTTTCTGATTTATAGAATAAAAAAGTCTTTGAGCTGAGGGGGCCCCAATCAATCAATAAGCATTTATTAAACACCTATTATGTGCCAGGCACTGTGCTAAGTACTAGGGATACAAAAAGAAGCAAAAGATAGGCCCTGCCTTCAAGGAGCTTACAGTCTAACAGAACAAATGAATGAAAAAGCATTTGTGGAGTGTGTACTAAGAGCAAAGTATCATCCTAAGTGCTGGAAATACAGACAGAAAACCAAGACAGACACTTCTCTCCAGACACTCACATACTTACAAAGGGCAGCAACCTATAGAGAGGTTTCAGCAGCCCATCAAATGGAAAAGCCCAGTGGTCTTTAAAGAACACTTTTAAACTTGGCATTACTATTGATGAAACCCTGTCTGTTTCTGATGTTGAACCACCTGAAAGTGCCAACAGTACGGTGGTTAGAACTTTCTCTTTGGGGGCCATCTGTAGCTGTGGCTTCTAAGGAAGCATGGGGCTACAATGCCTGCAGTCAGCTTTCATTTCCACAAGGATTGCTCCCTTGAACAAAATCTATGGGAGCCTGGACTGGCAGCAAAGTTGGTAGTTGAGGAGTAGAAAGAAGGCACTGCTAGTGCCAGTTTCTTGGTCAGGCCTACTCTTTGGTGGTAATGGGTCAGCCCTTGGTGTTAGTGGTGACAGGGATGGCAGGCCCTTTTTCTATTGGGTTGCTCCACTCATTGCTGGCAATCATTGATGGCTTAAAGTCAAGAGACCTGGGTTTGAATGTGAGCTTCTTCTGAATACCTCCAGTGACAGGGACCTCACTACCCTACAAGGCAGTTCATTCCCTTGAATGACCCCTCAAAACCAGAATCTTCCGCCCTAGAATCTCCATCCCCGGCCACAGTTCTTCCTTATAGAGCTATGGGCAATAATTCTAATCTTTCATCTAACATCCTTTCAGAAAAGTAGAAAATTATCATGTCCCTCTAATTCTTCTCTCCTTCTAATAATCATTCCCATTTACCTTGAGTTTTCTTCATGTAACATAGTCATTGTTTTCCAATTTATTTTGACCCTTCTTAGAACATGTTGCCCAGGTGTCTTCTTTGTAAACTCTTTCCATCTAGTAGCATATCCTGGAGGTCAGGAAATGACAGAAATAGGAGGTCTGAGTATGGAGAGGCTGACAATGGCAAGAAGTATGTCAATGTCCCTCTGACGCCCCTTGTTCCAGTGAATCAGGGCAGAAGAGAGAATGACCAGTAGTGGAGAGATTGGCAAGGTATAGGGTCATCTATATAGTATCATCTGGGCAAAGCCAAGTTTTACTTTTTGCTATTTATTAAATACAGAGGACATTTAGAAAGCCTAGCACGTAGAAATTGCTTACTATTTTTTCACTCCATTCATTCATTCGTTCTAGAGGGAGCATGATGTCACGGATAGGGCACAGAACTTGGGATCAAGATCCAGGTTCCAATCTTACTTTGGAAACTTACTAGCTGTGTGAACCTCTCTGTGCCTCCATTTCCTTATCAGTAAAACAGTGAATGAACATTTAAGTACCTACTATGCGTAAAGCGTTAGATTCATCTTCCAACATCCCTTCCAGTCCAAAGTCTATGATCCTATGAAAGTTTTCTGAATGGCTTATATCCATTGTTCCGTTTGAGGCTGACCACAACTCTGGGAGGAGGTACCACATATGTTATTTGGGATAGGGACAACAACACTGCCTGTGACTGATTGGTACAGGAAATCCTGGGCTGCCTAGAGCAGGCTAAATGACTCATCCATTATGTGCAAGAGGTGAGAGTTGAACCCAGGTCATCCTCACTAAGGTCAGCTCTCCACCTACTGCACCCTGGTGTCTAATTCCCCATTTTACAGATGAGGAAATTGAGGCTAACCCACCAACTTTTCCATTTAAACTTGTCCTTGTAGGTATCTTTTATAGAATTTCTCACGTGTAAGACATCGGTTATATGCTACAATATTATATCCACTATATCTTTCTATTACCCTTTGGCTCACCCACAATTGTGTTTCTTCTGAAAATCATAGCATTCTATGGTTCCCAGTTATCATTGGCAGAATATTGGTGTTAATTCCCCACTCCACCCTTTTGCAGAGGTTGGAGGTTGAGTATGGTACATTGCACATGTTTTCAGAAATTCCTGATATATTGATCAGTTTTGCTGATTTTTTTCCTCTTTTTTTGTCTTTAAAATATTTTTTGTTATATGGGGTATTGTTATATGCATTATATGTATTTGTTATATGGGATATATGGGATAGCTCTCTGAGAGGAGGAAGGGAAAGGATACTGGGGGAAATGTTAGTGATATAAAAAACAGTAAAGGACATAAATCAAAATTATTTTTGAATTTTTTTAAAAAGAATATTGGTGTTTAAAAAAATAATGGGTTTTCATGACAGAGATGAACTTTGAATCACAGAAAGAACTATGTAGTTTCCCAAATATGATCTAAGTAAATATATTTTTCATATTTAATTCAGGTCCAAGCTCATTTTATAGAAGGGGGTGAGGTGGTGGAAAGCCTATGGTCAGGACTGGAAATAGTCAGGACTGAAAATTTAGATTTGGGAGTTATTGGTATAGAGCTGGTAGTTGAGGAAATGTTGTGGGTGGTTGTTGTCCTTCGTTCTTGAAGACCAAAATGACATCCCGATGCTAGAATCGAGTTATAGCGTGTCATACTATGGCTGATCAGACTAATACTAGCCCAGAATGTTCTGCCACAAGTCGGCACAAATAGTCCATGTGAACATTTGGGGTGGATTCTCTAAATCTGTGCATCTTGCATTTCTTTTGAGCTACTTCAATTCTGCTTTGCTCATAGAGCACAGCACCTTCTCTAACATGGGCACGCCATGCTGGGCAGTTCTGTGCCAACGTCTCCCATGTCATATCATCAATTCCAAAGTTCTTAAGAGAGACCTTGAGAGTGTCAATGTGTTTCAAAAGAGTGTTGAGCAAACCTGTACATTGGGGGTGGGGATGGGGTGCACTAGTGCAAAGTACAGGACGAAGGCTGCAGAAATGAGAAGGGCATTAGAGTACCTATCTAGGAAGGGCATATCAGGAGCAACAAGAAAACCCAGTATGAGGAGCTAGTTCTGAAGGAGGAAGAAGAAATAGGAAAGGCAGCAGATCACGAGTCATAAGACCTGTATTCTGGCACCAGGTTTGCCGTTTTCCTGCTAACAAAACTTGGGAAATTCCCTGACTGTTCTGGGAGCCAGTTACTTCATGGCTAAAATGAGGGGTCAGCCCAGGCAGGCTCCTGAATCTCTTCCAGCTCAGACATTCTGCAAAGAATCCTGAAGCAAAACTCCATTGCTCTAGCGAAATTTACTCTGGTGATGTTCAGGACCAAGCCTCAGAGCCCATGGTTTTGTAATCTTAAAAGTGAGAATAATTACACATGCTCCCTCTCTTCACACAGGATTGCCCGGATGATTCGCCAGGAAAGGGGGAACGCTCTGCTTGTCGGCGTAGGCGGAACAGGAAAACAGTCTCTGACCAGGCTCGCCTCTCACATCTGTGGCTATAAGTGCTTTCAGATTGAGCTCAGTCGAGGCTATAACTATGATAGTTTCCATGAAGATCTAAGGAAGCTCTATAAGATGGCCGGCGTGGAAGACAAAGACATGGTTTTCCTTTTCACTGACACCCAGGTGTGTTTAAATAGCTTCAATAATGGTCACACACCAGGAATGCCAATTAATATATTTATTATGGATGTGAGAGGCTGCTGTGCTATCAGGCAGTCGGGCAGAATGGGATTCCAGTCCCACCTCTGACATATGGTACCTATGGGACCCTGGACAGATCACTTAACATCTCGGGATTCTAGAAGCAACTTAGAGAGAAGGAGCTGACCTAGAATTGGAAAGAGGACTTTGCTCACCAGGAAGTTCTATGTACCAATGAAATACAAATCTAGTCCTTCTCTTCTATTATGATCACAGCTCAGAATCATTTCTTTGCAGTGAAGTATTTTACATAGTGGTGAATAGTTAATAATGGGAGCCAACATTCATATAGCGCTTTTAGGTTTACAAAGTACTTTACAAATATTATCTCACTTGATCCTCACAATAACTGTGGGGAGTAGAGACTGTTATTATCCACTTTTTGCAGATAAGGAAACTGAGGCAAAGAGTGGTCAAGTGACTTGCCTAAGGTCACATAGCTAGCAAGTGGCTGGATTTGAACTCATCTTCCTGACTCTGGGTCTGGCACTCTACCCACTGTACCTTGTTGTAAATGGTTTTTTATAATAAATTGATAATATTTTGGTCGGTTATATTGTCCCCTTGAAAGCCTATGTAATAAGTGGCGGGGAGTCCACGAGAGTAGAACATTGCAGTTATTTTCAGGTCTTTGTCAATATATTTTTTTCTCTTCCTCTTTTTTCTTGTTTCTTTTTTTTTTCTTTAATTCTTTGTTATATGGGATGGCTCTCTAGAAGAAGGAAGGAGGAAAGATACCAGAGGAAATTTAAGTGATATAAAAATAAAAGTACCAGATTTTTTTAAAAAATAGAAAGTCAATGGAATGGATTGTTGTCCTAAATTGAGGAGCTGAAATGGGAGTTCCACATGAGCAGGAGAGAAAGTACTTCAGAGGCCTCTGTAGGCCAACTTGCACCTGTGATGTGACTTGCTTGAGAAGAACCAAAAAAATGTTTGCAGTTTAAAAGAAAAGTCAAATAATAACGAATGGTGCTTTAAGGCCGACAAAGTGTTTTCTATGCGTCCTCTCATTTCGGTCTTTCTGAAAACAGAGACCTGGCAGGCATTAATAGATCCATTTTCTTCATCCATAGTCACACAGCTAGTTAGTGTCACAGGCAGGATTTGAACCCAGGCCTCCCCTGATTCTACATCCAGTGTTCTTGCCTGTGCTCTGCAGATGTGAAGATAAACCTTGGCTTCATGCTTCTTTATATTCTCACTGCTTGCACTCTACTCCAGGCCTTCCCTACCTCTCACAGGGTTTTGTCATGGCAGCCTCCTAACTGACCTACACACCTCTATTCTCATGCCCTCTTCTTTCTTCTTCTTCAGATCACTGACCATCTTTCTCATACGCAACTCTGATCACATCACTCCTTTGATAAAAGCATTTCAGTGGTTTCCCATTGCCTTCCAAATAAAGTCCCCTCTCCTTAGTCTGGCATTCAAAGCCTTGCACAATCTGGTGCTGCCCCACATCTCCAGCCGTATCTCATATTCATTCCCTATCTCTGCCCCCTGCACTACTCCCAAACTATACTCCTGAAACTAGGCCATTTGCTGCCCCATGAATGTCCTCACCTTTGGGCCTTTGTCTACACCATTTTTAATGGCTAGAATGTCTCCTCTGCCACCCTGACTCTCTGAATCTCCATCTCTATCTTTTGATTCCTACATATCCTTCAAGGTCCAACTTATGGCATCTTCTTCTAGAAGCCCTCCATGATTCCCCTCAATCAGAAAAGAGCTTTATCTCCACAGCTCTCCCATAGTGCTTTGCTAGTGGAAAGTCCAGTGGGTCTAGGAGTTAGAAGACCTGGGGGGAGGGGTGTCGAATCCCAGCTCTGACAGTTACTAGCTGTGCGACTATACACAAGCTACCTGACCTCTCTGAGCCTCAGTTTCTCCAGCTGTAAAATAGGGCTAATAATGCTTGCCTTGCTGTGAGGAAAGTTCTTTGAACAAAACCACTGTGCTAGGAAAGTATGAGCTATTGTTGGTATCACATTTTATTTCGTATCATAGTTATAGATGTCTATGTGTGTCGACTCTACTACTGGTCTACGAGCTCTCTAAGGGTAGGAGTTATGTCTTGTTCTTGTTTGCCTCTTCCACAGTAGCGTGTAAGTTATTGGAAACGTGTGATGATGGGTTAATAGCCCGTGGTCACGGATGCAAAGTTACATGACTCTCAACCACTCTACTCCATAGATTGTTGTGGAAGAGTTCCTGGAAGACATCAACAATATTCTGAATTCAGGCGAAGTGCCGAACCTATTTGAAAAAGATGAGCTGGAGTACGTCATGGCGGCCACGAGGCCAAAGGCGAAGGAAGTGGGAATTGCAGAGGGCAACCGAGATGAGGTAAGAAAGATACCGATGATGGTGGCAATGAGAGCAAACCTTTACATGGCTGTGGAAGGTCTGCAAAACACTTTCCCCATATTACCTCACTTGTTGTTGGGGTTGTTGAGTAGTTTCAATCATGTCCAACTCTCCATGACCCCTTTTGGGGTTTTCTTAACGAAGAAAACTCCAAACTCGTTTGGCATTTCTTTCTTGAGCTTATTAGTAGGTGCTTAATAAATGCTTGTTCCCTTCCCCTCCAACCTGTTTTGTTAGCCAGACTAAAATTTTCATTTTCTCCAGCCTATCTGTGTGTGATGACATCATGATTACCCTCTTCCAAACACCCTTGTGTTTGTCCAAGTCTTTCCCAAACTGCAATATCATGACAGATACAGTACTTCTGATGTGTTCTAACCTGGGCAGAGTTCATGACGAATGTCACCTACCTTCTTCTCGACTCTTTTCCTCTCTTGACATAATCTGGGTTAGGCTTTTTTGTTTCATGTCACACTCTTGAGTCACTAAAGCCCACTTTTCACCCAAACCATTATCTAGCTAGACCTTCCCCATCCTAGACTCATGCAGTTAATTTTTGGAACTCAAATGTAAGATATTGCCTTTGTCCCTATTAAGTCTAATCTTCAATTCAGCTCACTGTTCTAATCTAGTGAGAGCTTTGGATCCTGACTCTGAAGTCCAACATGTTAGGTAACCCTCCTTGCTTTGTGCTATCTGCAAATTGCATAGCGTGTCAATATGGCAAATGTTATGACTAATGTGGAGTAGGTTTAATACGATTGTACATGTATAGCCTGTATCAGATTGCACGCCATCTTAAAGAGTGGGGAGGGGAAAGAAGGGGAGGAAACTTAGAACTCAAAATCTTATGCAAGTGAATGGTGAAACCTAAAAACAAACAAATAAAAATTTAAAAAAAGAATAACTTTAAGTGAATAAGTAATTTTTGACTACAATGAATACCCAAATTAACTACAAAGGACATATGAAAGAAGATGCTATATGCATCCAGACAAAGAATTGATAAATAGAAATATGTACAGTATGATTTTACATACACACACATTTGTGTCTAATGGTAGCCATTTCTAGGGCAGGATAGAGCAAAGAAAAGAAGGAAAAAAATAAATTTACAAATTTGCTATATATTTTAAAGGAACAGTAGGTTGTATATAATAGATTTGCAATTTCATGAGAAATCTTTTTTTATTGTACTATGTTATGGAAATGTTTGTTTTATTCCACAAATTAAAAATAAAATAAGTAAAAATCTTAAAAAAAGAAAAAATATATGGCAAATGTTATAAGCGTAGTGGGTTTTGTTGGGTTTTGTTACTAAATCAAAGCCTGATTTTGATTATGAGACTTCCTTCACGTATGCCTGTGAAATATATGAAACTGTTTTATCCTATTAGGAGGAGCATTCCAAATAATTTATGCAATAGTTTGTAAAGTTAGGAGCATATCTGATGATTTTTAAATATTGTCTATGAAATTCCTAGGGCAGCTAGGTAGTGCAATGGATAGAGTGCCAGACCTGGAGTCAGGAAGGCTTATCTTCCTGAGTTCAAATTTGGCCTCAGACACTTACTAACTGTGTGACCCAAGTCTCTTCACCCTGTTTACCTCCATTTCCTCATCTGTAAAATGAGCTGGAAAAAGAAGTAGCAAAGCACTCCAGTATCTTTGCCAAGAAAACCCCAAATGGAGTCACGAAAAGTCAGACAGGACTGAAAAACAACAGCAACAATGAAATCCCTAAATACTTTGTTCAAGACAGTCAGAGCGCTTTCATACTTCATGTACAAACTGCCCTAGAGAACAAGAGATTAAGCAGCAAGGAGAGAGCCAGTGGAAAAGACATTTTCAAGGCAGACTCTGAGCATCTGTAGCCTGAAGAGGAGAATATAACATTGGAAGGATAGGAGAGCTGTCTTTGAATATCTCAAGGGCCATCCAATGGACGAGGGATTAGACAAATTTTATAAGACTTATTAGACCCCAGAGAGCACATCTGATAGGAATAAAGGGTGCAAGTTGTAAAGAGGGGAATTTTGGCTTCAAGGAAGAAAAACCTTCCTAAGGACTCAAGCTTTCCTGGAGTCACCTTAGGAATGGGTTGCCCCACATGCACACACTCAGTGGAGGCCTTTGAGCAAATGTTTGATGACCACTAGAAGGCTATTCTGGAAGGGGAATTCTTGTTCAGTCTCTTACAACCTGGTAGATAGAAGAACACAATTCTTTTTTTTTCTTTTCTTGGTGAGGCAGTCAGGGTTAAGTGACTCGTCCAGGGTCACACAGCCAGAAAGTGTCAAGTATCTGAGGCCAGATTTGAACTCAGGTCCTTCTGACTCCAAGGCCGAAGCTGTATTCACTGAACCACCTAGCTGCCTCCAAGAACACAATTCTTCATAGTGTCACATCAGTTAGGAGGTTAGAAGGCACCACACGGATCATCTGAGAATCAGGGCTTCTTAACCTTGGGTCCAATCATCTTGGTTTGGTTTTTTTTTTTAATTTAATTATTAACTTATTTACCTTTACTTTTCAACATTCACTTCTGTAAGATTTCGAGTTTTAAATTTTCTCCCCCTCCCACTTCTTCCCCCCCACCAATGATGACATACAATCTGATACAGGCTGTACATGTACATTCATGTTAAGAACATTTTCCCATTAGTCATGATGTCTGAGAACCATCTGTTCATATCATTTATCGATTGGGGAATGACTTGTATTCTTATAAATTTGACTCAGTTCTCTATTTATTTTAAAAATGAGTCCTTTATCAGAGACACTGGTTGTAAAAATTCTTTCCCAGTTTTCTGCTTCCCTTCTATTCTTGGATGCATTGGCTCTATTTGTGCAAAAACTTTTCAATTTTGTGTGATCAAAATTGTCTGTTTTGGATTTCATAATGTTCTCTATCTCTTTTGGTCATAAATTTTTCTCTTCTCCATAGATCTGAAAGGTAAGCTATTCCTTGCTCTTCTGGTTTGCTTATAGTATCAGTTTTTATATCTAAATTGAAATACACCATTTTTTAATGTGAATTTTCCTTTATGTCATGCTTTAAGGTTTGCAAAGCACTTTATAAATGTAGTTTCCCAGCTTGATTTTCTCATTGGTATTGCCAGGGAATGACTCTGTAAAGTAAGTGCCGTTTTACAAATGAGAAAACTGAGTTCAGAGAGGTTAAACAATTTGTTTAGGGTCACACAATTAGTAAATGTTGGAGACAGTATTCAATCCTCAATTCAATTCTCTTTCACTCTTCTTTTAAATTAATTTGTTTATTTTTAGTTTTGAACATTCACTTCTATAAGATTTTGAGTTCCAGAATTTCTCCCCATATCTCCCTTCCCCCACCCCAAGACAGTGTGCATTCTGAATACCCCTTCCCCCAATCTGCCCTCCCTTCTATCACCCCCTCTTCTCTTATCCCCTTCCCCTTCTGTTTTCCTGTAGGGCAGGATAGATTTCTATACTCCACTGCCTGTATATCTAATTTCCCAGTTGCATGTAAAAACAATTTTCAACATTTGTTTTTAAAACTTTGGGTTCCTGATGCTCTCCCTTCCTCCTCCTCACCCACCCTCATTGAGAAGGCAAGCAACTTGATGCAGGCTATGCATGTGGAGTCATGCAAAACACCTCCACAGTAGTCATATTGTGAAACACTATATTTCTCTCCATCCTATTCTACACCCCCATTTATTCTATTCTCTCCTGTGACCCTGTCTCTCCTCAAAAGTGTTTGCTTCTGATTACCCCTTCCCCAATTTGCCCTCCATTCTATCATCCTCCCCTCTCTTATCCCCTTCCCCCCTATTTTCCTGTAGGATAAGATAGATTTCCATACCCAATTGAATGTGTATGTTAAGCCCTCCTTAAGCCAAATCCAATGAGAATAAGATTCACTCATTCCCTCTAACCTCCCCCCACTTCCCTTCCACTGTAAAAGCTTTTTCTTGTCTGTTTTCTGTGAGATAATGTTCTCACTCTACCTCTCCCTTTCTCCTTCTCCCAGTATAAT